CTAATGCTAGTACTTCAACTGCATGTACATTAGATTGCACTTTAAAAATTGGAAGTGGATTGACATTCTAAGATTGCTAAAATGTAGACCCAACTTGTTCGGTTAAAAAGGATGGTAGTGGTTGTATTGTAATTTAATCTACATGTACAGGATATGGTACAACAGATGTAAATTGTTATAAATCTAATGCAACTGGAACACAAGCAAATTGTGTCATGAATAAAGCCACACCACCAAGTTGTTAATCAGTGAGTTCAGCGTCTGATTGCGCACTTGTAAGTGGATCAGGAATATATCATGCTAAATGCTAAGCATTTAATATTGCATGTACATCTTTAGGTGATGGAAGTGGGTGTTAAGAATTTAAAGCAAATTGCACTTCTTATACTGGTAATACTGATAATTGCACAGTCTCTTAATAAGGTAAATGTTATCTAAATGGTTCTGATTGTATTCGTTTTTCTAATTGTTTTTCAATTACTGGAACAAACCTTACTCATTAGATATGTAATTCCTATAACGCTGATTGTACAGTAAATAAATAAAAAACAGTGTGTTAAGATAGGAGAGCTACATGTGATTTATACACATCTCAAGAATAATGCACAGTATCTGCAGCTGCCTTAAAAGCAAGTTAATGTGTTTGGAGTGGAACAAAATGTCTTGCTGTTACAGTAGTTGCTACTCATTGTTCCTACATAACTGGAACTTACTTGACAGATTCATTATGCGCTACTTACAATAATAATTGTACTGTAAATTACGAAAAGACTGCTTGCTAGGAGAAGAAAGCTTAATGTAGTTTATATTCAACTAAAAGTTCATGTACTCTATCATAGGCGACTGGTACAGCAGGAAAATGCATATGGAATAATGGAAGTTGTCGTATAATGATATCCCTTGTGACAATTGCTGGATCTATTAAGGACTATTAAATGTCAAGTGCAAGATGTGCATAGTTTAATCCGGCTTTTGCAGCCAAAAAAGATGGGTCTGAATGCTTTATAAAACAAGGTTCATGTAGTCTGTACACAGAAGACTATTGTACAACATCCTCAGCATCAGGTACAGCAGCAAATTGTATTTGGGATGGTTCACATTGTTTAGCATTTACATCTGGTTCTCTTTGTAAACACATTCAAGCATTTGAAATAAATGAGAGCTATTGCCCTTCAGTTAATCCATTGTGTACTACAAAATTAACGAGAAACGGCTGTTATGGAAAGAAGGCTAATTGTTCAGATTATGATGTTGAAGGTGATTGCTAATAATCACTAGCTTCTGGTACAGCAGGGTTTTGTATATGGACAGGTTCAGTTTGCACTTATGTGACAGACCCTGCCAATCAATGTGCTAAGATACTATCTGCTCTTCTTGCAACAGATGAATAATGTGCTAGTTATCATGCTTCTTGTATTCCTTTAATGAATGGAGCTGGATGTCAATATATTCAATCAAATTGTGCTTCATACACAGAAGCAAAAAATTGTTATAAATCATTGAATGACGGTTATTGTGCTTGGATAGATAGCAAATGTATATTTTTCACAAGTCCTAGTTAATGTGCTTCAGTTTCTGGTTCTAGTTTGACTAGTAATTATTGCAATGGATTACACAAAGAATGCTGGCCCGCTACAAGCAAGTAGACATGTTATTAGATGAAATCTACTTGTGCACAATATAATAACGAAGGATAATAATGCATTAGAACTTTAACTAATGGAAATGCTGGACTCTGTGGTTGGAGCAATACTGGTTAATGCTATTAGATAACATCTGCCAGTTAATGCAATACCTAGAATGTGGGAATTGTAAACCCCTCTTATATAACAACAGATGCTTTTTGTGCTGTTTTTAATGCTGGCTGCATTGCAGATGCTGAGAAAAGAGCTTGTTAAGAACTGCTAATAAGTTGTTTACAATACACAGAGATGTCGAAATGTAGTTATGCTGGAAATTCATAATCTAAGGTTAGATGTATTTGGAGCGATACAAAATGCACACCAGTAACAGATCCTGCTACTTATTGTACAAAGATTTCAAGACCTAATTATGAGTAATTTAGTGATGCTACTTGTGTATCTTTTCATAGTGGTTGCACAGTCAAAGCAGATTAATCTGGCTGTCAAGAAAGAAAAGCAGTTTGCGCGAATTATACAACAGAAGACAGTTGCACATATTCAGCTGCTGCATCTCCTTTCAATGTATGTCTTTTTCTCAATTCTAATTGTGTTGCTGCAAGAGAATTATTAACTGAGTGTGCAGCTATTACTGCATCTTCAGGTTTGAGTGATTCCGATTGCTCTGGGTATAACTCTATCTGCACATCAAATAAAGCTGGGACTGCTTGTTAAGATAAAAAAGGAGCATGTACAGATTACCAAAATCAGGATACATGGTTCTGTTTCCTCAAGTTCAAAATGCATTTGGAAAACTAGTTGTATTTCTGTTAGTGATGCAACTACTGACTGTGTATATGTAGTTGGAACAAATTTAACTCATGATATTTGTGTCTCTTATAACAATGGATGTACAGTAAATAAAGCAGGAACCTCTTGTTAAGAAATGAAAAACACTTGTGCAGATTATACAAAAAGCGAGAATTGCACTAGGTCGCAAGATTTTGGACCATAAAGTAATTGTGTCTGGCATTCTACATGCATCTCTGTCACCAATACTTCTACTGATTGTGCTTATGTAACTGGTACAAATTTGACTGACGATCTATGTGCTTTATATAATCCTGATTGCACAGTTAACTACTCAGGATCTGCTTGCTAAGAAAAGAAATCAAATTGTTCAGAATATACTTTGAAAGAAAATTGCTCACCATATTGCGTATGGGATGGCACATCAATTTGCCTTTTTATATCAGATCCTTCCACTTAATGCAACTTAGTTAATGGAAAGACAGGACTCAACCTTGCAACGTGCCAATTATATAATAGTGAATGTGTTAATTTAAAGGATGGTACTGGATGTTAACACTCCTAGACAGATTGTAAAAATTATACAACTTAGAACTCATGTGTTGCTTTGGCTAATGGTACTTCCTGTTTATGGTATGAAAATTCTTGCTACCAAATAACAGGTACTACTTGTAGTGCAATTACTGGGGCTGATCTGAATCATAATATATGTTTCTCTTATAACAAAGGCTGCACCTCATTAAGTGATGGCACTTCATGTTAAGATTATAAATCAACTTGCGAGTAGTATTCAGGAACAACTGAATCATGTACTTAATCCATAAATGTGAAATGCTACCTCTATAATTCAAATACTTGCATTACTATTTTAAATGTTTCTACTGATTGTGCTAAGATTACAGGTGTATCATTAACTTATGAAATATGTTAATCATATAATTTGGGATGCAGTGTTAATAGAGCTAAGACTGCTTGTGTTTAAAAAGCAGCATAATGTTCTGGATATACAACTAATATGACTAATTGCTATCAAGCAGGAGAAGGATTATGTATTGCATCCACTAGTAATGATTAAGCATGTGTGCCCGCCTTAAGTGTATCTACCTGTGAAACAGTATTTTTAGGAACAGACAATTATACTCATGATAATTGTAGTGCAATCAAAGCTGGATGTACTGTAAATGGAAGTACAGGATGTATGGCTAGAACTTGTGCAAATGCCACAGGTTTTACATTTAATCATGATAATTGTTATTCTTGGTTGAAAACTTGTACAGTAAATTAGACTAATAATGGTTGCACTATCATGACTGCAAAATGTTCAGATTAATCATCTACTTAATGTCTAAATGCAATAGAGGGAGTGTGTTTAGTGTTTAATTCTATTTGTATTAGAAAAGGATGTGATACAGCTCCATCAGATGCTTCTCATGATGATGATACAGAATGTTCTAATTATTCATAGGCTTGTACAGTTGCAAGAGCAGGTGGATGTCAAGTTAGAACTGCTTGTTCATTATATAAATCGTCATTATAATGTAAATTAGATATGAATGATAAAAAATGTTTCTGGAATCCATCTGTTAAGACATGTGTTGATTTGGCTTGTGCAAATATAGAAGTTTCAAATTTATATAATACTCATGCTAAATGCTTTGCAGTTGATTCGAATCTAGGTTGTACAGTAAGAGCACTTAATAAAGTAGCTGTTCCAGGTTGCATGGCAAGAGGACCATGTAGTTCATATACTATTAAAGATTAATGCATAACTAATGCAAGTGGATTAGATTGTGTTTGGAATACAAATAGTAGTTTACCTGAACCTGCTTGTTAGGATAAGTCATGTACAACTGCTCCTACTTCAACATTAACTCACAATGACTGCTTCAATTATTATAATACACAAAGTATCAAATGTACAGTGTATGCTAGTCCAGGTGCTAATGGTGGATAACCAATTTTAAGAGGATGTTAATAAACTGCTGGCTGTTCTACTTATATTGATATTGAGTAATGCAAAATAAATGATTTTGGAGATCCTTGTGGATGGAATGGAAAAGAATGTAATGATAAATCTTGTTCTACTGCTCCTGCAACATCAGAATTTGATGATGATGCAAAATGTAAAGCCTATTTCAACAATAAATGTACAGTTTCATCAGATGGATAAGGTTGTATAGATATTCCAGAGATTTGTGAATTAATGAATTAGAAATAATGTTATTACAATAGTACTGGACAGCTCTGTTACTGGACTGGAACAGATTGTATTACTAAGACTTGTGAAAATGCACCCGAAGAAACAGCTACAGCTGAATAATGTAATAACTATTTATATGGATGTACAATAGATGTTATAAAATGCAAAATTAAAATATGTGAAGATTATGTTTTAACAACAGATGAACAATGTAGTTATGCGTTATCTACATGTACAACAAACGGTATTAATTGTGTAGCCAGAGGAACATGTGTTTAAGCTTAAATACAAAGCAGGATGTGTTGTATCTTCTACTGGATAATCTTGTGAATGGATACCAGATGTTGTAGATTCTTAAAATGTTGTAACTACTGCAGCATATTGTACAATTAAAACTTGTAATACTGCCCCAATTAGTTTATAGACTGATGTAGATTGTGGAAAGTATTTTACAAATTGTACAACTAAAAGTGGAGGAGGGTGTGTTGCTAAATCAAGTTGTTCTGCTGCCTCTGTAAATGCTGCTTGTATAACTGCATTAAATGGTACAATATGTGCATGGGATTATACATTAAATAAATGTAGAGATAAAGACTGTTAAGATTTTATAGGAACAACTCACACCATTTGTTAGACTTAAAGATAAGGATGTACTGCTGGACCAAATGGTAGATGTGCTAGAGTTTAAAGTTGTGAATTAACTACTATTAGAGAAGCTTGTATTGAAGGCACAAATGGGCCATGTTTATGGATTGAGAAGTTTGCCACTAGTGATGGGTCAAAAGGAGCTTGTTTTGCTTATACATCATGCAAGAGTTTAGCTTGGAATAATGATGAATCTTGTAAATTGATAAGTAATAAATGTACAACTAATGGAACTAATTGTATTGGAATTACATTATGCACTGAGACAAATGTTGATGGTGGATGTGCTACAGGATATGATGGATCTTGCATTTAATCTGTTCCTGCTTTAAATTCTTCTGATCCTAAGATTTGTAAACCATTTAAATCATGTGCAGATGCCTTTTATGCAACTCATAAAGATTGTTAAATTGCTAATAAAAAATGTACAACAGATGGAACTACTGGTTGCATTCCTTTAGGTGCATGTTCAACATATTAATCTTAACCAGGATGTTAGTTAGATGATAAAGGATCTGTAGTTGAATCTGGTGTTATAACTTCAACAGGTGTTTGTACTTGGGATATGAGTAAAAGTGTTTGTAGAGATTAAATTTGCTCTGATTTGAATGGTGTTACTCATTCAATTTGTAATTCTTAATTATCAACCTGTACTTCAGATGGTACTAAATGTTTACTTAAAACAAATTGTTCTAGTTATTCAACCTAAATTATTTGTTCAACAGCTGTTGGAAATGATGGAATTTGCTTTTGGGAGGTTGGTTCTACTACTAATAATAATACAGCCAAATGTAGATTACTTTTCTTGTGCTGATATTCAAAATGGAACATCCATTAGTGTTTGTTAAGCTGCTTTACCATCTTGCATTTCAAATGGAACTATTTGTATCCCAAAGGCTAAATGTTCAACTTACACAACTAAAACAGCTTGTAATTTTGGTGGATTAGATGGACTCTGTGTATTTACATAATCAACTTCTGCATAGGCTGTAGCTGATAGTGGAACTTGTACTTTAATGAATTCATGTTCATCTGCAAATAATGATTAAACTGCTTGTGTAGCTGCATAAGATAGATGTTCATGGAGTCCAGCTAGTTCTAGTATTACAAGTATATGTACAAGTCATACATGTGGTACATATAATCAAGTGAGTGGAACTTGTTCAAGATTCTTTAATTGGGATAAATAATCATAATAGATATGTTCTATGATTAATGGAATATGTACAGCAACTGATCCATCAACATTAAAATAAAGTGATTGTTTTAATCTTTCAGGATATACATATACATGGAACAGCTCAGCAGGCAAATGCTAAGTTTGTACTAAGCAAGATTAGCCAAATAATAGTGTCAATAATACAATCAATGATACAAATAATACTAATACGGCTTAAGGGTTATTATTAACATTCATCTTAGGCTATTTGATGATTTGATCATATAAGATTATAATATAATTTATTGTTATATTAAAGTCATTCAACTAAATAGTAATTAATAAATTAGTTATTATCAATTAATATTTTCACCAAAAAACACTGTTGTTTAGAAAATATACTGTTTTAATTATAAATTTTCATAAAGTTATTGAAGAGGTTTAAGAGGTGATTTTTAATATCATTAATGATAATTGTTGCAAATGATGAATTTAACTTTAATATCTTATTTTTTTATCCTGATTAAAATGCTAATGAATTAAAGTTTAGTTTATTGTTGTTATTTTACTTTTGATTCTGTTGTCAAAAACAAATAATTTTTCTATGAGGGATTTCATTCGTATTATGTATGCAAAAAATATTTATTATTTGGATTTATTGAAAAGAGGCTTAGGTTTTTTTTACTAAAAAAACTTCATAATGTTAATTGTTGTCAGATATTCTCATATTCTATCCTTTCCTTTAATGATATTGGGACTAATCATGTAAAAACTGTAATAATAAGAAGATCTTTTCACTTAATGTAGAATATTTTGTCAGTAAAATCTTGCTAAGATATAACTTTATAGAGATGATTCTAAATAAAACTACCTTTTCTTTAATGAATTAAAAATTAAAACAAAAAGAGAGCCAGAATAAATAAATAATTTAAGTCTATTAATTATTGATAACATAAAAATTCACATATTTTATCCATTTTAATACAAAATATATATGAGTTGTTTGAAAAATGAAAATAAAAATAATCCTTAATGATACGATCAACCATCAATATTTAAATTAAATTTTTAAAAAGAAAGGTGAAGTGATTATAAATCTTATTATTTTTTCGCATTAATCCAACTTCAAAACTTTCAATCATTTGCATTCTTTTTCATATGATCCACTGCTTCTAAATCAGAAAATTTAATATATATATTTCAGATTTTTATCTAGTCAATAAAATAACTCATTAAATTGACTCAACTGAAAATTGAATTTCTGTTATGAAGCCTATTATAAATTTTTTGTATATATTGCCTTAAAATTTGACTAATTATTGGTTCCTAAATTAGCCTCGATATTATCAATTCTTACAATATGAATGATTTATTATTTAATTAATAGAAATTATGGATTAAATATATAAGAATAGTAGACAATTATATTAACAAGAAGAAGCATTTTTAAATTTTTTTTTAAATATATAGTTGATAAAATATTGAAAAGTTGTAGAACAAATATATATCGCCCTACCTTCATAAACATTTTATAGATGAATTATTCTGAACAAAGGTTGTATAGAATATTATTGTTTAATTCTATTTTTATTAATCATCTTTATTTACTTGGCATTTCTTGCCTTATATAATACTTTAAATGGAATATCCATTAGAATGTTATTATAATTTTTGATGCTAAGCCCTATGAGTTGGTACTAATTAAAAATAAAGATAGCTTTTTATAATGGAGTACCCTAAGGAAGTGTATTTTTAATTTTGACATTTACTAGCTGACCTCAGAAACAGATTATGTAATATATTATTTTCGTGGAATTGACCAATATGACCTATATTAAAAGGAGCCTGCCTTTATTTAAATGGTATATTTTATAACGCTTCTTAGAATCTAAATCTCCAAATTAATACAGAAATGTACCATAATAAAAATAACTAGAAGATTAACGAAAAGAATATAAAAATAGATATTGATTCAAAATATCTCAAAATCATAATTAAAGCATTTTATTTATTTCATTTGAAATGGGGATAGCAAATAAAATAACTGAAAATATTGAAAGGATTCTGTCATATTTAGAAAAGAGAAAAATGAGATGATAAGTATCAATCGAAAGACTAATTTTAGAATATTATGTTTTGAATTATTATTATATAGTTATATAAAGATAAACTAAACTATTATTATCATCAAAGATATTCTGATTTTTATGAAGATAAGCTAGATGAGAGAAATTTAAATAAAGATTCTACTTAACCTTTAAATCTTGACTATCCAAATTATTACTCACAAAGATTTATAGGTTTTATCAATAACTTAAAATAATTATAAGCCGTTATCATAAATGTAGAATCATTGATATATATAATAAAATAAAAATTTAATATAATATTTGACAAAATAAAACACTAATATAAAAGCATCCATCATCTTAATAAGAAAAGCATTTAAAAATTTACCTTCTAAACCCCTTAAACTCTCATGCTCCCTTAAATGAGTTATTTTTAATATAAATTGAATCCATACAAGAATAATTCATGAGCTGAACTAAATGCATGAATTTTGGAATCATAATAAAAGTCTTATCAATTAAAAGAAACATCAATTATAATAAAGTTACCATTTACTTAAAAAATTGTACATTCAATATAGTTTAAGAAAAAATTTTTGAATTCAGCATAAAAACGGAATTTATTTTTTAATTTTAAAATAAAAGAACTTAATTATATAAATTATTAACGCATATTTTATTTTAAACTAACAATTAATATAATATTCTTTATTTCATAATATATTAGTTGGATAATTTTTGGATAGATGACCTAATTGCTTTTAAGAAATTGATTTTAGTTTATATATTTTATTAAAAAGAGTTTCTCAGCCATTAAGATTACAAAAGGCTTAACTTCAAGAGATATTAAATTCTATAATCAAACTTCTGGTTACTAAAAGTAACATAGCTGCATTTTTAAATTACTATTAACAACTGTGCTGTCATAGATTGTTTATGCTTGAATAATATAATTTTAAGATTTTTAGATAGTTATTCTAATCTTTAAAGTGAGATAGCAGAACTTCTTCAAATATAATAAATTGCGCGATTATTCAACTTTAATAATTGATTTTATTTCCATTACTATAATTACTACATATGTTAATAGCACAACTCAGGCTGAATTGATGACTTCTATATTGATAACTTATTTACATCATTTTAAAATTGAGTTTCTTTCTTTAATTAATACTTGCATACAACCATCATGTATCAACAAATATTTTCTATTATCCTTTTGACTTGTGTAAGATTCATTTGAGTCAGCTTGAATTGATATCCTAGTAAGGTTTATTCCGCCAATTTTTTCAGATATTTTAAATTTGAAAAATGCAAATACATCTCCACAAAATGTCATCAATATTTACTAATTTGCATAAAAACTAAATTACCGTGATCTATTATGTAAAAAAATACATCTGATTAAATTCTAGAAGTTAGGTAAGTACATTTTTTATTTAGCAAAACTTTCTTCAACTTTTAAATTATTCAAAAAAAATAAGGAGAGTGCTTTTGCGTTTACTCTAAAACAATCTCACTTTTTGATAATTTTATAATTTAACCAATTCATTCAAGTAAGCAAATATATAATATTACTTTTATTAAAGCATAAAGAATAGCATTAGTGCAATTTGCAATTGAAAATAATTTTTTTAAGTGATGGAAAGAAGCCCAAATCATATAACAAAAATAAAAGAAAAATGAAGGCTAGGATCAGTTGGGACAGTATTTAACAAGATTACAGGAAATGATGAAAGAGGAAGAATGATGGAATGGAATATTTAGATAATATGACTTATAAAGTAGGAGAGAATACTTATAATGACTATAACGAGAAATCAACAGCAATAGTGGACGGTTATTACATATGTTTATTGTATTTTTATCAATCTACCATTGATTAGTTATGAATAATTGATGATAGTGCATCTAGATTGGGTATTACAATTAAGTACTACGTAACTGTCGGCTAAGAGTCTTCTCATTTTTTTGTCTTGACAGTCAGAATGTTCATTAATTTAATTAATGATGAGGGTTGATTTGGATATTTAATTATGCTTAAAGCTTTTGGAAAAATACATATGTATTTAAACTAAACAAAAATATAACATTGTTTAATTATTCAAAAATAAATAATAAAAATATAATGAATTACTTTTTATGAATATTAATGTATTGATCCTGACCTTATTGGTTGCTCTTGTAACAAGCCAACAGTATAGTATTTCTTAATGTGATTGTTCCTAATTGTTATCAAAAGAGGATTGCTAAAAAAATGATACCATCAAATGTTAATGGGATAGTACAAAGAAGACATGTAAAATTTAGGATACAACAACTAATCCAGTTATAAACTATGCAAAATATTGTGATAACTTTAAAGAAATGGAATGTCCAAAACAAAAACCATGTAGCAATTGTGGATCCTACTCTGCATGTGCTTGGGTTGAAGGATAGTGTACATTTTTTACAGATTGCACAGTATTTAACAAACCAACAGATTCAGATTGTTAAGCTATTAGTAATAAATGTATTACTGATGGAACTCATTGTGTTGAAATAGATACTTGTGACAAATATAAAAAAACAATAATCTTGTGTAAAAAACTTATTAGATAATTTTATGTTATTGGGATACTAAAAATAAATAATTGTGTTGATGCTGATACTTGTGGATAAATTACCAATTAAATTTTAAACAGATAAAGAATGTAGACATGAAATACAAAGTTGTACTGCAAAATCAGGAGGTGGATGTATTGATAGTGGAATTAATTGTACTGATTAAAGTTTAGAAATTTAATGTTTTTGGGATTAATCAATGAAAATGGAATGTTATTGGAATGGAACATAATGTAAAGATAGAATATGTGATAATGCACCTACTACTTTAAATAGTGACGATGCTTGTAAATTATTCAAAACTGATGGATCATGTACTACAAAACTTAATGGTGGATGTATTACTAGAACTACTTGTTAAGCTGCTACAATATCAGCAGCTTGTATTAAAAATAGTACAAATGAAGATTGTTATTGGACTGGAACTGCATGTGTGGATAAAATATGTTCAAATGCACCAACTACATTAACAACTAATTCAGTTTGTGCTGCATTTTCAAAAGGATGCATAACTAAGTAAGGGGGAGGATGTGTTCTAAATGGAGATTGCTCAGCTGCTAATATTTCAACGGCATGTGTTAAAAGTATCAATAATTTTGATTGTATTTGGGATTCAACTTGCAAAGAAAAAAACATGTGGTAAATGCTCCAAAGTCTAATACTACTCATGATTAATGTACTTTCTTATTTATCTACCTTGTACTTGTGTAATCAGGAGGAAGGATGTCAAAAGAGAACATGTGACAATGCTCCTATAACATTGAATACAAATGATGCATGTGAAACATATTTACCTGCAAATAAATGTATAACCAAAAATGGAGGTGGATGTACAATAAACACCACTTGTTCACTAATCTCAATAGAAGTTGCTTGTATCAAAAATTCATTAGGATAACCTTGCTTTTGGCATGCTGCAAGTGGAAGTTGCAAAGATAGGATTTGTGCGAATGCTCCCTCTAGTAATAATAGTCATGAACTATGTTAATAATTTTTGAATACCTGTACTGTCAATTCTACAAATACAGGATGTGTTGAAAAAACATGTGAAAACTCATTAACTTTATCAATTTGCGATAAAGATTTAAACAACAATATATGTATCTGGAAAGCAAGGTGTTATATGAAATAATGTGCAATGGCTTCAAATTCAATAACATCTCATTCTGAATGTCAAACTTATTATTCAAGTTGTACATTAAGCAACACTGGAAAAGGATGTGTTACATTACCTCTGAAATGTGAAGCAATTACAATAGAAGCTGCTTGCAAAATAAAAGCTAATAAATAATCTTGTGGTTGGACAGGATCTTAATGTATTGATAAAGCCTGCAATACTGCTCCCAAAACTATTTAAACAACTTCAGACTGTCAAGCTTACTTATCTTCTTGTGTGGCTAATAATCCAATAACAATAAATGGAACCTCAACTATTTAAGGATGCTAAGATTTACCTAAAACTTGCGATTCTAGAAAATCATCTGAAAATTGTAATATCACAAGAGCAGCATTTCCAACCTGTTTTTGGGGATTCTTTATCAAACAAATGCGTTGAAAAATCTTGTACAACTGCAAACTTATCAGGTTCACCAGGAGCACTCTCAAAAGGGTAATTCACATTTGATAATTGTTAAAGTTACTTGAGCACATGCACAACTACTAATGCTCAAGGTAGTTGTACTTAAACATCATATCCTTGCATTTCAAATAATAGTTAAGATGGATGTATGGTTAAGCCCACAAGTTGTTCATAGTTAGTTCAGTAAAATTGTAAAGATGGATCGAGATCTAATGGTGATTGTTATTGGAATGGATCTAATTGTGTTGAAAAGACATGTACTAATATAATATTAACAACACATAATGATTGCTATAATATATTCAATTAATGTACCGTCAATGATGATGGCACAGCATGTATACCATTAGCTTCTGCTTGCACTTCATATCAAATTTAATAGAATTGTAAAATTACATCTACATAAGAGAATTGTTATTGGACAGGAACAGTTTGTAGAAATGCAATTTTGTGATGACACTCCAGATTCTGATCTATTTGATTCAGATGAAGAATGTCTTAAATATCAAACTCAGAATGAAACATGTACAATAATTGCAAAAGTGGGATCTTAAGGATGTGTACAAAAATAACCGGTTTGTTCAAATTACAAGACTTCCAGTTAATGTCACAAGACTTTATCAAATTTAAATGCTTAAGATGATTGTAAATGGATTAATGGAATATGTTATTCATTATCAACTTTTGCAACAGGACCTTGTTCTACGTTTAAAGGAACATAAGATATATGCAAAGCTTATAGATAAGGATGCACAAATGTAGCTAATGCTAGCACTTCAACTGCATGTACATTAGATTGTACTTTAAAAATTGGAAGTGGATTGACATTCTAAGATTGCTAAAATGTAGACCCAACTTGTTCGGTTAAAAAGGATGGTAGTGGTTGTATTGTAATTTAATCTACATGTGCAGGATATGGTACAACAGATGTAAATTGTTATAAATCTAATGCAACTGGAACACAAGCAAATTGTATCATGAATAAAGCCACACCACCAAGTTGTTAATCAGTGAGTTCAGCATCTGATTGTGCACTTGTAAGTGGATCAGGACTTGATCATGCTAAATGCTAAGCATTTAATATTGCATGTACATCTTTAGGTAAAGGAAATGGGTGTTAAGAATTTAAAGCAAATTGCACTGCTTATACTGGTAATACTGATAATTGCACAGTCTCTTAATAAGGTAAATGTTATATAAATGATCTAAATGGTTCTGATTGTATGCGTTTTTCTAATTGTTTTTCAATTACTGGAACAAACCTTACTCATTAAATCTGTAATTCCTAGAACACTGATTGTACAGTAAATAAATAAAAAACAGCATGTTAAGATAGAAGAGCTACATGTGATTTATACCCATCACAAGAATAATGCACAATATCTGCAGCTGCCTTAAAAGCAAGTTAATGTGTTTGGAGTGGAACAGCCTGTCTTGCTGTTACAGTAGTTGCTACTCATTGTTCATACATAACTGGAACTTACTTGACAGATTCATTTTGTGCTACCTACAATAATAATTGTACTGTAAATTACGAAAAGACGGCCTGTTAGGAGAAAAAAGCTTCATGTGGTTTATATTTAACGAAAAGTTCATGCACTTTATCATTGGCAACTGGATCAGCAGGAAAATGCATATGGAATAATGGAAGTTGTGGTATCATGATGTCACTTCTGACAATTGCTGAATCTATAAATAACTATGAAATGTCAAGTAAAATTTGTGCAGAGTTCAATCCAGCTTTTGCAGCAGCATCAGATGGAAATAGCTGCTTTATAAAAAAAGCTTAATGTAGTATGTACACAGAAGAATCGTATTGTACAACATCCTCAGCATCAGGTACAGCAGCAAATTGTATTTGGGATGGTTCGCATTGTTAAGCATTTACATCTGGTTTACTGTGCAAATATATCATAGGAAGTAATAAGCTTGATAGTTATTGCCCTTCAATTAATCCATTATGTACAACAAAATTATATAGAAGCAACTGTTATGGAAAGATGGCTAATTGTTCAGATTATAAAGGTGAAGGTGATTGCTAATAATCATTAGCTTCTGGTACAGCAGGATATTGTATATGGACTGGTTCAATTTGCACTTATGTGACAAACCCTTCGAATGATTGTGGTTATGCTAAAATCTATATTGAAAATCCAGATTTAGTTTGTGCTAATTATCATGCTTCTTGTATTCCTTACTTTGGTGAAAGAGGATGTCAATAGATTCAATCAAATTGTTCCTCATACAAAACTAAAAAAGACTGTTATTAATCTTTGAATGACGGTTATTGTGCTTGGATAAATGAGGATTGCATAATTTTAACAAGCCCGAGTCAATGTGCTTTAGTTTCTGGTTCTGATTTGACTGGTACTTATTGCAATGGATTACATAAAGAATGCTGGGCAACTGCAAAGAAAGATGGTTGCTATTAGATGAAAAATACTTGTGCAGAATACAATATGGCAGCAAATATTTGTGTTAGAAGTTTAAATGATGGAAATGCTGGACTATGTGCTTGGAACAAAACTAATGGGTGTTATAAAATAACATCTCCAAGTCAATGCGATTATATGGATACAATTTTGATAGACACCTCTTTTAGAACAACAGATGCCATTTGCGCTAATTTTAATGCTGGCTGCGTTGCAAGTTTGGAGTTAAATGGTTGTTAAGAAATATAAAAAAGTTGTTCATTATATGTAGATTCTTTTAAATGTATTAAAGCTGGATGCATCATGAAAAATGAAAAATGCACCTCGGTAACAGATCCTGCTACTGACTGTCAATATATTCCGAAGTAACTTTTTAATCTTTCTTGCGAATCTTATCATAGTGGTTGCACAAGCAATAAATATTAATCTAGCTGTCAAGTAAAAAAAGCCATTTGTGGGGAATATACAACAAAAGAAACTTGTGTAAGATCAGCTGCTGAACCTCCTTTCGATTGGTGTGTTTATCTCAATTCAAATTGTGTTCCTGTAAGAGGATTGTTAACTGATTGTGCAGCCATTACTGCAACTTCAGGTTTGAGTGATTCCGATTGCTCTGGGTATAACTCTATCTGCACATCAAATAAAGCTGGGACTGCTTGTTAAGATAAAAAGAGCTTATGTACAGATTACCAAAATTAGGATTCATGTACTGTTTCCTCAGGTTCTAAATGCATTTGGAAATCTAGTTGTATTTCTGTTAGTGATCCAACTACTGACTGTGTATATGTAGTTGGTACAAATTTAACTCATGATATTTGTGTCTCTTATAATAATAAATGTACTGTAAATAAAGCAGGAACCTCTTGTTAGGAAATGAAAAACACTTGTGCAGAGTATACAAAAAGTGACAATTGCACTAGGTCGTAAGATTCTGGACCACAAAGTAATTGTGTCTGGCATTCTAAATGCTCTTCTGTCACCAATACTTCTACAGATTGTGTTTATGTAACTGGTAGCAATCTGACCAAAGATATATGTGCTTTATATAATCCTGATTGCACAGTTAATTATTCAGGAACTGCTTGTTAGTAAAAGAAATCCAGTTGTTCAGGTTATACTTTGAAAGAAAATTGTTCAGCAGATTGCATATGGGATGAAGCATTAAAATGCATTTCTATCTCAGATCCTTCTACTTAATGCAGCTTAGTGAATGGAAAGACGGGACTCAACCTTGACATGTGTAAATTATATCATAGTAAATGTATTAATCTATAGGATGGTACTGGATGTTAACACTCCTAGACAGATTGTAAGAATTATACAACTTAGAATTCATGTGTTGCATAGGCTGATGAGACTTCCTGTTTATGGTATGAAAATTCTTGCTACAAAATAACAGGTACTACTTGTAATACAATTACTGGGGCTGATCTGAATCATAATATATGTTTCTCTTATAACAAAGGCTGCACCTCATTAAGTGATGGCACTTCATGTTAAGATTATAAGTCAACATGCGAATAGTATTTAGGAACAACTGAATCTTGTACTTATTCTGTAAATGGAAAATGCTACCTCTATAATTCAAACACTTGTATTACTATTTTAAATGTTTCTACCGATTGTGCTAAGATTACAGGTGTATCATTAACTTATGAAATTTGTTAATCATATAATTTGGGATGCAGTGTTAATAGAGCCAAAACTGCTTGTGTTTAAAAAGCAGCATAATGTTCTGGATATTCAACTGCAATGACAGGTTGCTATCAAGCAGGAGAAGGATTATGTATTGCATCCACTAGTAATGATTCAGCATGTGTGCCT